GCCGTAACCATATAGCAGCAGATCCAGAGATCCAGCAGACTCGTCCTCATGCACGAGTCAACAGCAGACTCAGATTCGCCAAATCGCAAAATAACCCTTTTTTTTGTGATCAACATTTTTTATTAAAGCAAAATACACTGTGTAGCGGAGGTTAATATAACGTCAGTTTAATAGATAGATAGATAGATAGATAGTACTTTATTGATCCCAAATTGGGAAATTGTTGTTACAGCAGCATAAAAGGCATTTTACAATAAAACAAAACTACAAAATATACAAGAATAGAAAGAAAAATAAAATAAAATATAAAATATAAAATATACATGTCGAAATAGAAAATATACATGCAGATATTATATATATATATATATACAAATATATATATATATTCAAAATATATGGAATAATAATATGCTCGTGAAATGCAACAACTTTTCGGTTTCACCGATAGGATTTCTACGGTCTTGGTGATGCTGACTCATATGACTCAAATGACTCGTATGATCCGGATCTCTTCAATGACTGACTCAGAAGACCCTGAGTCCGTAAAAGGATCCGGATTTGCCATCTCTAGTGTGAGGGGAAAGCGGAAATGACATACAGGAAGTAGAAAACGATGTGCAACGGAAAAGTGTTCCCACTAGAAACATTACTCAAAAATATTAAAGGAAACAATCTCATAAAGATAAAATTCACAACCTATAATCGTAATTTATAAACTAATAATTATGTATACACATGTTTAACTCTGTTACACCTAGACTACTACAACTCCCTCCTGGCTGGTCTACCTGCATGTGCCATCCGACCTCTGCAGCTCATCCAGAATGCAGCAGCTCGTCTGGTCTTCAACCTTCCTAAATTCTCCCACACCACACCGCTCCTCCGCTCCCTTCACTGGCTTCCAGTAACTGCTAGAATCCACTTCAAGACACTGGTACTTGCGTACCATGCTGTGAATGGATCTGGCCCTTCCTACATCCAGGACATGGTTAAACCATACACCCCAGCACGTGCACTCCGCTCTGCATCAGCCAAACGGCTCGCTGCACCCGCACTGCGAGGGGGACCCAAGTTCCCATCAGCAAAAACACGTGGGTTTGATATCCTGGCTCCAAAATGGTGGAATGAGCTCCCCATTGACATCAGGACAGCAGAAAGCCTACACATCTTCTGGCGCAGACTGAAAACTCATCTCTTTCGACTCCGCTTCGAGCAATACAATGAAAAACAAAAAACAAAACAAACAAAACAAAAAGCACTTACATACTAACAAAGCACTGGCTTATCTAAAGCCAGTTGAGTAGCACTTAAAATGTTTTGGCTCTATGAAACCTGATGTACTTATATGATTCTGTTTTCTTCAAGTTTGTATCTTCTTGGTCGAATGCACTTATTGTAAGTCGCTTTGGATAAAAGCGTCAGCTAAATGAAATGTAATGTAATTATAAACTAAAAGCTTTGACACAGCAAACACACATCAGAGAACCAGTTGTGTCACATCCGATACGCATTTATTGATCTCATGACGCTTCAAATTTTTCTTGGGGGAACTTAGGAGAAGTTCTATAAATCTTAGTTCAACATTTTAAACGAAACCACTTTTCTCCTTTTTATGTTTTTTGGGTTTAGGTTTTAGAAACAGGTTTATTGACCAGTATGTTTACACATATAAGGAATTTGCTTTGGTGTGTTAGGTGCATGCATAGACACAGTCAGATTAATTAAATAGTAAATGTAGAACTATTATAAAAACTTTTCTAAACACTATTTAGACATAAATTACTACATAAATAAATATATAGAGAAATTAGCTGTGCAGATCTTAAAAGAGGTAGAAGTAGTATGTAGAAGTATAGAAATAAAAGTGACGTGCGGGATTCCCAGCATTAAAAATGAACAAGATTTCCTCACATGATGTTCATTATTGTAATGCATAGTGTTTATGGAGGGGTTAAGATGCAGTGTCGGGGTCCCGGGCTTGTTGATGAGAACAGTAGCTCAAAGTAAAAAAAAATGTAATCACTGCTCCCTCTACAGAAAAATGTAAACGAGAGGGATAAGTTCAAATCCAAATTATGTTTATCCTGATTTAATTTCGAAGCACTATGAGAACTGAATCTCGCTGACTGATGGAGTGATCAGCAGCGCCCTCAGTTGGAGGAGTTGGACACTCCATGGCGAGGTCATGATTTTTGGTCGGAGTTGTTTCCAGTGACAGTGTTGTCTGACCTTCACAACTTCTTTTACGAGAACATGTTTTCCATTTGTGCAAGAGGTCTTAAACTGTAGAGGAATGATAGTTATGTGCTTCAGACAGAAGCAAACTGTGTCCACATACCATTTTGTGTGTGTGTGTGTGTGTGTGTGTGTGTGTGTGTGTGTGTGTGTGTGTGTGACTTTTTCCATTAGTTTACAAAGATAACCCTCTTTAGACAAATATAACAGTCGAAGACACACATGTAGACCTCTGTAGGTATGCAGTCAGTCAACACACTCATAAAAGATAAATCAAACCAACACATGCCCTCCGGAAAGACAAGCGCACACACACACACACACACACACACACACACACACACACACACACACACACACACACACACACACACACACACACACACACACACACACACACACACTTGTTTGCTGTTATTCTCCATACAAGCAGGAGGACAAGCAGACGGCTTTATAGGCTGCCACACTGAATGTGTCTTTCATGTTCATTTAATTCATTTCTTGTTTTAACAGTTACTTGCTACTTATCTTTAATTGTATTATTCTTGTGTGAATCTGTACTGTCCTGATTTTTGCTCTCACTGTGTTGCTGCTTAAACTCCTGGATTTCCCTGCGGATTCATAAAGGTCCATCTTATCTTATCTTATGGAGACAAAAGGTCACTCTGGATTTTAAAGTTAAAGAATACATGTAAGATGAAAAACAGGCATGCGACTTCCAGAATTAAAATAACCTCACCAACCCACAACCGCAAAAACCAAGATGATAACTTAATAACTAAAATTGGAAAATCCTGTAAAATAAATAACTGAAATGAAAATAATGAGCATGAGAATTAGAAATCAAGTTCATATCAAATCAAATCAAATCAAGTTTTATTTATATAGCACATTTTTAAACGATTTTTGGTCGAGCCAAAGTGCTGTACATATAATAAAAATACCCTACAGTAAAGACACTTTACAGCAAATACAGTACAGCACAGTTTGTTCAGAGTATCAGTATAATAATATCTTTGATGATAGATGGGGAAAATGGGTGAGGTATAGAACACAAAACATTACGACCCTCCGCTAAGATGTGACAATTCATTTAATTATGAGAAGAAATAATTTATACGTAATATGTTAACTATATCCTAAAAAAATCTGTTTGTTTTTTTCAGTTTTTATGATTTCTCGATATTTACACATTTAATGTTTCTTAGTTTTTACTGGATTTAATGTTCTTATTTATGCCATGTAAACATAGAATTTCATAAAATGCAAAAAATAAAAAAATTAATGAAATCCAAGATGGCTGCTCTGCCCATCAACAGAAGTTAAAGCTGTAGTCATCCACTGTTTATTGGCACCTCTGTCTTTTTTGTGTGTCTTATTAAATCAGTCAAACACACACTGATGTCCAACTTTGTGCCTCAAGTGTTTGTATTAAAAACAAAACAGAAAATTCAGAATAGATCTTTTAATATTGTATTTCTAACAAATGCTAACCAAGCTAGAACTGGTCTTGCTAACCTAATGACATATTGTTGAACGCAGTCAACATTGGTTGTGATGTCATTCACAATTAGATCTTCCAAGACATTTAAAGTCTATAAGTCAAGCACCAAAAACAGTGGATTCTCATAATGCAGTTCAACTTCTTTCTTTAGACTTTACCTGATCAGGTCCTTGAAACTCGTTGCTCCCAGTAGGGAATGCTAGCATGTGTAGTCTCCAAACCAAATCCAAGATTACCCTAATGACACTATTAATATTATTTTTACCATTATTTAATTTTTTTAGAGGTTAGAAAGCCCCTGGATCATACAGATTCACAGCAGAATCCAGTAAACACCCCTGGAAAAAAGATTTGCATCTGATAATAAACAAGGGTACAAGAGAGGGAAAACTATATCACGCACTTGAATTGATAAACTACATGTAGAGCATACAACACTCACATACAGTATACACACACACACACACACACACACACACACACACACACACACACCACACACACACACACACACACACACACACACACACACACACACACACACACACACACACACACACACACACACACACACACACACACACACACACACACACACACACACACAGCTAACAATACTGTAACCTCAGTGAGTGACTCTTATTGATGCCTGGTGGAAGCGCCCTGTTGAGCCCAGGTTGTAAATAACAATACGGCATGCTGGGCCGGCTCCGTGATGACATATGGATTCACATTTTAAAACCAGCAGGGGTTGTTTTTGCCTCTTTGAAGTTATCTACAGGCCGTGCACTCCAGTACAACTGATATATTAGTTGTGGTAGAAATAAACTTCAACAAACATATTTTTACAACTCATTTTGACAAGATTGTTGTGGTCACTGTTAGTTGAAATCTCTTTGACATGATGAAACCAATCTAATCCATTAAAAATTGTGGAATAAAAGGTCAAAAGTGCTTACATTTTAATGATCATTATTTTTTTTATCTAATCAGTTCATCAGACCATGTTGAAACTCATTTAGTGGAAAAGTACATGTGCTCAACTAATACTTACAAGTACAAATTTGAGGCAAATATTCTACTTCTGAGTCTTTCATTAGTAACAGAGTGTTACTAGATTAGGTTATTGCTACTTTCACTAAGTAAAAAATAAAATAATCCAGGAAAGGTCTGTAGGTTTTCTTGAATAACTGTCTCTTGTATTTTGCAGTTGGGTCAGCTCCTCTGGCAGCAGCGGCGGACTACAGTTCCCACAATCCTCTGAAAGGATGTTTCTGTTTGCAGGAAGTAAAGCAGATGGAAGAAGTGACAGCAGGTATCAAATACTGCTTGATTTGTTTGTTTTTATGTTAATTCCAACATTTGTAGACGCTACATTATTTTAAAGAAATTGAATATGCAAATGAATGAACATTTAAAAAATATATATATATGTGACTTGTTTTCCATTGGAGTATATATTTAGGCTGAATAACTTGAAGTAGGTGAATTGTCTTTTAAGTGTTATTGAATTTAGATTTCGAGAGTACAGTAAGTCCTGTATGTACATTTTCAGTTTTTATTTTAGCATTTATTAGCTGACCTAATATTTACAAACGAAATATTTGAAAGCAGTTGAACTTGATTTGGATTGTACTGTAAGGGATAAAAGTTGCTGAAATATCACAATAATAATCACACATATACAAATAAATGACAATTTCTGTTGATGTTAAAGTGCCAGGGATAATTTAGATGTGTGCACTGTAAATTATTGAACTTCCAGCTGGTATGTAAGTAGGGCATTGGAACGTCAGTTTGAGCTGTCAGTTAATGTTTAAAGACCCTCAGCAGTAAAAACTGAAACATCCAATGTTGACTTCTAAAAATAAATACAGAATACACTTTTTTTTCAGAACCATCCATCGTGAATATGACATCCTGGACAAGAGGAAGCCGGTGACGGCTCTGAGGGCGGGAGAGGACAGGGCCATGCTGCTGGGCCTCAGCATGATGATCTTCTCTGTCATGATGTACTTCGTCCTGGGAATCACCATACTGCGCTCCTACACTGACCGGTAAAAACGAAACGAGGACCGAGGTCACTTATGGCGCATTTCCACTACACGGCCTCGCACGGCCTCGCTCGGTATGGCTAGGCCTCGTTAGGACTGGCTCACTTTATGGCGCACTTCCATTACAGTTTAGGAACTGGGGTAGTATCTATAGTAACGCAGTGTAGGCGGAGCCGTGACGTCATCTTCAATGAGAACCCCAGAAAAACAACACAGCCGTTAGCTGTTAGCACTCAGAGCTCACAGCTCCTCATATCTGTTCAGAAACTAGACAAAAGTTAAACAAGTACAAACCACAGACTGTGTCATGGCGAATACAGTCGCTGCTTTATTTATGTCTGTATAGGCCGTTGTTGTGAGTGTGGACGGTCGGAGCATATACTGCGTTAGCTTAGCCAATCTCCATTTAGAAAACACGCATTTTTTAAAGGTTTTTCGCCTGCCGTCTGTCTGCAGACTTGTCAAAGCATTAATTCATGGTTTTTACTAACCGGTATCAGTATGTTGTTACTTCGGCATCATTTTGAAACGTGTATTACAATTAAATCACGGTCAAATATGTCCATCTTGTTGTAGTTGTAGCCCCCTTGCCAGCGATTCTCTCTCTAGTTTACAGTGGCGTTTCTATGTGTACAAAACTGGGGGGGCAGAGAGAGGTGGGGGGAGAGAGAGAGAGGGGGGGGGGACAGAGAGAGGGGGGGGGGGACAGAGAGAGGGGGGAGGAGAGCGAGAGAGAGAGGGGGAGAGAGAGGGGGGGGGACAGAGAGAGGTGGGGGGGAGAGAGAGAGAGAGAGGGGGAGAGAGAGAGAGAGGGGGGGAGAGGGGGAGTGTCAAATTACATACTGAAGACCACACGGAGCAACACTGTCAGCGCATACATTTACGTACACTGTGTACGTAAATGTACGGTACACAGCGTGGGGATGTCATATTGTAATGCACCTTAATACATAAGTAAAGGGCACCATCACAAAGCAATTCTTAACAACAACAACAACCATAATGCTTTAGCATTAAAACACCATAGACTGTAAATATAAGGAAAACACAGACACTCATCACCGAGGTCACAATATCAATCAATCCAGCAGAGGCAAAACACAGAAGATCAACAAAATATATGACATAAATGAACTTACCAAAGCTGAAGGCTCACTTGAAAAGAAAAGCGGCACGGCGGTCCTTCCTCTGACAGAATGTTTCTATCACTTTGGGGATGAAGTCCTGTAGTTGCTGGATCAACTGGCTTTCAATTGAAAGCATGGCCAATGCGTTAAGTCGCAGCTGTCCCATGGTGTTGCGAGTGAAAGTCTTTATCCTTTTGAGGGTGGAAAAGTTCCTCTCTGACTCGGATGTCGTCATCGGAGTTGTTACTATTATTTTGACCAAAATAACAGTCTCAGCAAACGTATCCTCCAAGTTGTTCTCGTGAATGGATTTCAACAGAGACAGGGCAGTGTTTCCAGTGTGAAGTTCACTGTGGCGGTAGAGCGTGGTCAGCTCAGACTTCAACTTCTCCTTGTTTCCCAAAGCAGGCCACAATTTCACTGCGCAGTCAAGCTCAGGTGTAGGGAATGACAGGACATGCTGTGGGAAGAATGAGCTGTCAACGAGCTTTGCAGCGATCAAATGGTCACTCTGTGAGAACCTCTGTTCCACCTGTGAGATGACTGTGTCACATGCCTCCTTCATTACCGGCGCTGTGCTGCTGACTCGTCGGCCTGGCTCGTCTGTTCCATCATGAGTGGTGGCGGCCAATGCATCAGTTTGCTGCCTCATTTTCTGGACATTTTCCTTGAAGCGGCAGAGCGCGCTGTTGATCCCAGGTGCATCGATGGTTCGTTTTTGCAGAGTGTTGTATAAAACATCCACTTCTGGCATAAGCAACGAAAAAAACTCCAGGAGCTGCATAAATGCTCGGTCCCGCAGTTTCTTTGACAGGCCGTATGCCTCACTTATGGTGACCGCATCCCATCCTGGTTGTGTGCGTATATGGTCCATACACTGAAGAAGTGCTTCTCGGGTCTCCCAAACCGCGTTCACAGTTCTGCTTTTAAAGTTCCATCTCACAGCCGGTGGCCGTGGTATGCGTCTCTGTGTTGCCTCTGCAAGAGCTGCAACACGTTTTGGAGCACCGGAGAAAAAAGTGGAAAAAGCAGTTAGATCTGCAAAAAACACCTTCAGGATGCTCATCCTTGCTGAACACAGTTGCTGCAGGGTCAGGTTCAGTTGGTGGGCGTAGCAGTGAACAAACTGAGCGTTTGGGTACGTCTCCTTCATGACCGTCTGTACCCCGCGCACGTTACCGCTCATGACGGCCGCCCCGTCATAGGTCTGCGCGATTAGCTTTTCTTTCAGCTTCAGGGGTTCAAGAACAGCCTTGATGCTGTTAGAGAGACCTACACCAGTTTTGTCCTTTACTTCCACAAACTCCAAAAAACGCTCTGTAACTGTGAGGTCAGGCATAATGTATCGCAGCACAATCACCATTTGCGATTTACATGAGACATCGGTTGTCTCGTCGGCCTGAACGGCAACAAATGATGTGTTGTCCACTTGCTTGGATATTTCCTCCCTGTACACATCATACATGCAGTCCAAGAGTTCATTCTGTATGGTGCTTGATGTCCCTTTGAAAACGGGCTGAGCTTCGTAGTGCCGTCGAAGCCTGGAATCGCACTCACACATTGTCTCGAAAATTGACCTGAATATCCCTGGATTCAGAGAGTCCGCCGACTCGTCGTGGCCCCGCAGTGCTGTCTCACATTTCCCACACAGTTTAATACAGGTGATGATCCGACCCAACACGTACATGTTTTCTTCCACCTTCCTATTATGATCATCAATGCCGCGTCTGTAGGCGCTGTCAATCAGAGCTGCAACATTCACCCTTCCCAGTAATCCCAATTTTACGGCATTTTCCAAGTGACTGTTGCTGCTCTCATGCTTCATTGTCCTCTCCGAAAGATGCTTTAAGTCCTTGTAACCTGTCCTCGACCAAGTACCTTGATCTTCACCAAAAAGCAGGCATGGAAAGCAAAAGAGGGAATTCTTCTGGATGCTCGCCGTTAGCCATTTCTTTTTAGCAAACCACTCAGCATTAAACCCGCGGTTCACTTTGCCCGCAGTCTGGACCATTTGGAAATCCGGTGGATGGTGGGCACCGAGGCGCTTTACCTCCAGTTTCTCTCCGAGACTAAGTGTCTCAAATGTGTGCTCCAGTAAATGGTCAACTTCATTAATTTTCTTTCAGTTTTTTACTTCTTTTTAATCGCTGGTGATGTTAGCTATATGCTGCTCTCTCGTCTTCTCTTCACACTACACGTGACGTTTTCGCAGCACTGCACACGTGACATATTTACAGCCAATCAGTTCTGAATTATGTGAGATGACGTATGGTGGGGATGGCACCTCTGTGCCCCTTTGTTTTGTTTTTTTTTGCCACACACATTACATTGAAAAATACTCTGAGCATGCGCAGTGTAGTTTTTACAGTCACCGTTCACTTAAACAGTGAGAGGGAGGGGCACGATCAGGTTTTGTCCCACATGGCTCAAAACGGCACTGTAGACACTAATTAGAAGAACACAGACTAAAACAGCAATGTACAGACGAATCAGATGATTAAACATGACCTTAAAATATATTTTATATTTTTTTTTATTTATTTTTTTGCATCTCTTTGCATTTTTTGTAATCATTATGTGTAATACTTTCTGCTGACACTAGGTGGGGCTGTGCCCCACCTGCCCCTAATGACCAGTCGCCACTGCTAGTTTAGCATACTCAGCCCGACTCAGCCTCGTTGTCTCTGGCCCTAGACCCACGATTTTATGAGGCAAGAAAAACTGTGAATTAGGACCCGCCGGCCGGTACTAGGCCAAGTGGAAACGCAACCAAAAACGGGCCGCTGACGTCACAGCCCTCTTAAACCGTGCTCCGCGCTGTAGTGGAAACGCCTCTAAGTTTGGAAAACAGAAATCCATTTCCTCTTTTTGTTTACTAAATTGGGATAAATGTATATTAGTGGTGGAAAGTATAAGTAGTATTGTACTTTTTCTTGAATATTTCAATTTTATGCTACATATACTTATACTCCACTGTGTTTCGGAGGCAGATATTGTACTTTTTACTCCACTGCACTTTTTTTGGGATACATTACTGTAATTTCTAATATACAAAGTATTTTAAAAAAGTAACTTAAATCGGCTCCACATTTGGAAACTCTTGTTTAATAATAATATTATATTACACTGTAAGAAAGAGCCATTTTACATACTGGGTTTTTGATACATAAAAAAAAGAAATTGGGCATTATTTATTTTACTATTCAACCTCTGCCCTGGACTAACTAACCATGAGGCGACAAAACTCCCATTGAATTAAGTCGCAGAGAGGCTACGTTTGGTTCTTTATCCAAATTCGTTCCCAATGAGCAGTCCTTACTGAAGTTCTTGTGTGATAGACAAAGAGGGTGAATTGGTCCCATACCTATTGTAGACCAAATGGTCTTGCTGTAAATGTTTGTTTATTTGCTTTATTAAAGCCCGGCACACAAAAGGTGGATTAAATACCTTAAACCACACCCATGTGACAATTGCAGGAAGTGACGAATTACCACAGTGTGGGGTGTAAACAAATAATAATAACATTTGAAAAAATCACTAATGGCTAAACCTGCATTTTTTCTCCTTCAAACCACTCAAACCATTCAAAGTGTGTTTGCAGCAGTGATGGAAGAAGTACTCAGATCATTTACTTGAGTAAAACTAATTATAAAATGGACAAGTCAAATCAAGCAATCTGATTGGTTCTTAGCCATGATATAATGAGCGTATATCACGGGTAGAATTGTAGTTACTTCACAAGTCAGTATCCCTCCGCGTCTGAGAAAAAGCTACAACCGTTAGAACTGTTACATTACGTCCGTTACGAAACTAACTAACTAACAAAGCTTAAGATGGAAACATTTAAGGTTAACTTCGACCTCCGGGGTGGCCTTA